GACAAGGCGGCGCCGCGGTGGAGGAGGAGGTCGACCCCCCGTCCGCAGTCCCGTGCCTGGAACAAACCTCGGCCCCAGTCGTACCAGAGCCCCAACGGGGTGCTTTTCACCGACTTTCCCCTAGAGGACAGGTGCACCTTCACCGTAACTCAGCCTGCCGGCACTGTCAGCACCTGCCCGGGCGGCGGAGCGCTCCGGAGGGGCGCCTTGTTTTTCAGCTCCAGCATGGGATCGGTGTCCAACGGGACAGTGCGGCCTCCAGCCTGTCAAGCGGTCTCCCCTGAGCGATCCTCACAGGTACTCTCTGTGGTCTCGAACAGTCCTGTCGGTGTTACTGCCAACGGCACCATTACCTCACCAGGAAGCCAGCTGGGTCGTCCCCTGAGGATTTCCAGTCAATCAGCACTTTCACCGCAGCGAGAGCGGATTGCTTTCACGGGCAGCCCTCAGCCCTCACCTGCTGGAAACACGCTTTCCCCGAGTAACAGCAATGCGGCAACGCTGCCCTTGCGATGCAGCCAGGTTTCCAAAATACCAGAGAAAGTGTCGTCGGTTTCCCATGCGATTTCCCCAGAGCAAGGGGTCCCTCCTCAGAGGCCGGCGTCCCCTCAGGACCAGCCTGCCATCCTGAGCACCAACAGCCCTGCCGCTCTCAAAGTGGGCACGCAGCAGATCATTCCGAAGAGTTTGGCTTCTGAAATAAAGGTGACAAGTAAAGCCAACAGCCAGAATGTGGACATGAGCAAGAGAGTGTTGAAGGTCCGCAGCATGGTGGAGAGCCTCAGCATGCCTTTGGTTGCTGACATTGAGGAGGAGGCTGAGGGTGACTTGGACAGTCCAGGGACCCTGCGTCGCGGCCTGAGATCAACATCCTACCGCAGAGCGGTGGTGAGCGGCGTGGACTTCGACAGCTCTAATAATGTTAAGAAAAAGAACAGAATGTCCCAGCCCGTACTCAAAGCAGTTGTTGAAGATAAAGAGAAATTTTCGAGCCTGGGAAGGATAAAGGTAAGTTCTGCTGATCAGTGGCATGGTGTAGGTTACACTGGAGTGTGATTTGCAATGTCTGTTTTCTATAAATGCTGGGGATTTTTCAGTTTTCTTTTCGCTACCACCGAAATTCTTATGGATGTTACGGATGAGTCTCGCAGATCACTTGCAAGTGTTGCTTTCAAAGTAAAGTGGCAGAGGCTTCAGGGACATGATACTGTTGAAATCTGGGCAGCTCCAAGACTCGTGCTTGCATTTCCTGCTGGATTCCCCAGTACATCGAGGTTTTCTTTCACAGTCAAGCTGATGTTTTAAAATCTGTTTCCCAGAAAGTAATAATAAAACTGGAAAAAAATAGAGATAGAGACCACTTCAGCAGGTATCTTTTTGTAGTTTAATTTTAATGCCTGCAAGTAAATACAGAATGCCTGTTTGTAATTTTTGGTTGTAATCCCATAGGAATAGCAGATCTATATTGAATGTTAATATATTCAGATTGTAAAGACTTCCTGAAAATATTCTTTTACTTGAACATACCATATAGTAATCTTGTATTCCTTCTTTTTAACTATAATTTGTTACTTTTAAGAATGTATTGGTAGATTTCTGCAGAGTTTGGAATTGTGTAATAAAGTACTCCATGCTGAGGACTAATGCTGTAGCTATTGAAGTAATTATCAGCTCTATGACAATTTTCAGTGAAATTAAAAATCACGGCTTGTGAAAATGCTACAAGTGGTGAAATAGTAATTGATCAAATTGTGAACTACTACAGCATAGGGAGGTGGTTTGTTTTGGTTTGATAGCAGATTTATGACAGTAAGCTGTGTGAAAAATAGGAGGACATGACATTGTCCTGTCCTTAAACCCTAAACTCTTTTTGCTGGTAATGTTTTTTTAAAATAGACCTCTTAGACCATAGGACTTGTTGCACCAAAAGAGCTGGTTTATTTCAGGGGTTTCTTTGGTCTTAACATTAGTTTACAGAATACTTGATGTGGCTGTTATTTGTAGAGTGTGTGGAAAGTGGCAGCTGCTCAGTCCTGCACCTTATGTCCTCGTATGAAGGCCCAGTGACAGTGGACAAGTTGAGGGTTCACTGAACCCTTGTAAAGCTAGTAGTATACAATGCTTTTGAAATGTAGGAAATGAAGCATTTGGGACAAATACATATAAACAGTGCACATGAGAAGAAAAACTAGAGTAGCTTTTCACCTTCTGCATGGAAGCAATTGTTTTCATTAATGCTTGTCCAACATCAGAAGATTATAGATTAGGGCCTGTCAGTTTGGTGCCTAAGTATCAAATAAAACAGAAGCTCTTGTTACTGTTGGTTATTTTGCATTCTTCTTTTAATGGGTATGTATCTCTTTCTCATTAAAATCATCAGAAGAAAGTGCTGAAAGGACAAGGGACCTTCGATGGGGAAGGTAAGCTCTTTTCTGTACAGACTTGATAATATGCTCAGTCACAAGAGAAATGAACTTCAGGATCATTTTGCACAGTTCTTTCATACGTAGTCAAAGGCTAAGTATCTTGGTTTTTAGTAAACTGGCTAAAATATGGAACCATAACTTTGGTTCTAGACATACTTTATGGACTATTTTAAAGAATACAGCAGGCTAAAAATTGGGGTTTAGGGTCTTTGTTTCAATTTAAACTCGTGTCCCTCCTAGCAGGTGAACTGACCAATGTGTCCATCACAGCCCTGACAGTTCTGCAGAATTACATGGATGAGGCTTATTCCTCCCTTTGGCACTGCCTTCCTGCCTGTTCCTGGTGACTCTTCCCAGGTGCAAGACGTAACTTTTGTGCATCAGCTAATGGGTTTGGGGTAATAACCTGCAGCAGATGCCTGAATTGTTGCTCCCTTAGTTTATGGTTCATGCAGCTATTTCTCTCCTTTCCTTGTAAGGCAAAGGTGCTAGGGTGAATTCTTTGACTTTGTAATCCTCTTCTTGTTACAAGCTTCAAGTTTGTCAGAAGAACGCTGTCCATGTATCTTCTTCTTTATGTTACTCATTAATTCTGGGCTTTGCCAAGTTTGCTGCTTTTCCCAGTATTTTGACAACAAAAAAAATCTTTCCTGACTATGAGTCCATGGCAGTTTCATTATAACAACTGCTACTTTCTTGGCTTTTATCTGCTAGATGCATCCTTAAGGTCATCTCAGCTACTGTGTTACCTTCTTTTTCTTCTTTGTTCAAAACATTCCACTTTATTCTGTTTGCATCACCCCCTATCTTACTTTTGGCTTTCTCACACTATCTCCCAATGACACTTTCTAGATTCTCTTCCAGTGGCTCCCTTCTATCTTGGACTGATCCCAACTAATAACTTTCTCTGTAATGCCTCTCAGAACTTAGTTGCTGTACACAATTTCCTGTCTTAAAAGTGTATAAACTGTACAGACACATTCCAAAGAACAAATACAAAAGGCCAGACTTTGTGTAATGCTCAGCCATGGCTGTATGGTCTGAACAGGTGAAACAGATCCAGCCAGCCTGGCATAAGACCTCAGGAGTAGCAGCTGTGCATGGAGCAGCTACACCTTTCACTTCTTTCCCCTTTCTCTTGTAGGAGAAGATCAGCTATTGTCCAAATCCTGACCTGTCTCTAAACTACCTTTCAGAGTTTGCTTTCTTAACAACTTAATCTTTGTTATTCTAGCCTCGAATTTCTCTGTCCTTTTCTGTCTGCTTTTCAAAAAGGTGTGTGGTCAATGAGGTTGGGAAATGGAAAGGGTATGCTTCACACCTGCGTTTCTTTGCCATTGATATTACTGAATTAATAATATTAATACTGAACTAATAATTACTGAATTAATACTGAAATACATAATGAATGTATTTTGCCTCAAGGTTCATAGGCCTCCCGCTTATCCAAGCAAACTGGGAAGTTTCTGTTTGGAATAACCTGACCCCAAATTGCTGAAATTTGGATCATTACCTTCTTTTAGTGCAGTGCAAATATGGTAATTTAAAGCTGACAAAGTCAGTATGAATAGTGGATTTACAATGGTCTGGTAGGCTAAAATAGCTAGACCTCCAGATTAGTGACTCTGCTCTACTAACACACTTGTTCTGTTTTTGAACTGCTGGCTAATTACGAAACATTGTACAGCAAACCAAGGAAGAAAAAATTGTTTTCTGTTTTCTCTTGACAAAGGACACATCTGTTCTTTAATTCAGTCAGTGTGGATCTTTTTGGTAGCGGTACAGTGATCCATTGTTACGGTACTGCACCATTGTCCATCCTAAATAAGATACTATCTTTGTCTGGTGGAGTTTGTGAACGGCACATGGACATTTTGGTTTCTTTGATTGTTTGGATGTTACTTAGAATTTTTATGAAAACAACTAAGCTAACTTTCTAGCAATTAATGACATACTGTTGTTGTTTTATAGAAGATGCTGTGTTATATCAGAACTATAAAGAAAAAGCTTTGGACATAGATTCTGATGAAGAATCTGAACCCCGAGAGCAGAAATCAGATGAAAAGATTGTTTTTCACTATAAGCCCCTGAGATCAACATGGAGTCAGCTGTCCGTTGTGAGTATTTGATCATCGCATAGCCAGACAAAGTATCTAAGAATCTGTTGAAGCAAATCTCTTTACTTGCTACTGGAGTTTTTGGATGAAGTTTGCCACCTTCTTTTCCCTTCCAAAATATAAGATGTCTCTGAATATTATTTTTTTATCCACAACTTTACAACTATTCAGATGTTACTAATCCAAATCCAGAGGTCTCCATTTAGCTTTTGTCTAGGTTTTATATAAGGTAACTCCAACAGCTTAAGAAAAGCATAAATCGTGTTTTAGCAGTCCATTCTAGTAGGTATAGACTGATGCTCCTGCCAGAATCAGTTTCTCTGGTTAACTGATGCCTCCCTTTTTCTAGCATAGGTGTTTGTAGGCTCATGTGGCCACACCGCAGACTGGTTGGAGTATGTGATTGAAATTGCCAAGAAAAAAACCTCAGTATAGTTTAAGATGAAATTAAATACAACTTTGAAATGTAAAGGAATTAATAGTTTTATACTTTTAAAATACTTTTTTTTTTTCTTTTTAAACTGTGCTGGACAAAAAAAAAATCAAGCATGTCTCTTGTTTGCACACTGAATTTGAGACCCTGACTTTGTACTTCCCACTGTCAGTGGAGGTGGCTGCCTGGGCTCGGCCTGCACTGGGGGTGTTGGCAGCTCTACTGGTGCAGGTCCTTAGGAAGTTACGGTTCACAGGCACGCATAGTGCTGTGTCTGGCTGTTCTGAATGACCTATGGTCAGAAAGCCCAAAAAGACATGTTTACATCCTAATAGCGTGTGAACTCAGAGTGAAATCCATGTAGTTCCTTTGTAGTTCTTCATAGTTTGCTTTCAATAAATTGGAGCAGTGCAGACCAAATTTTAAATGGGATTTAGTCCTGGTTTTTGTTATTTTTTTTTTTTTTTTTTTTTTTTTTTTTGCTAAACTTTGTTTTTCTTTTGGTAAGAACAATATGGAAGTCCTGATCAATTGTTGGTGTTTGGTTTTGTGCAATTGAGAGAGTTAAATTTAGGGTCCTATATTTGGCAAAGACACAACTTTACTGATTCATTTGGGGGGGAGGGGGAGAAGTGTTTGTGTGAATTCACTGAAAGGGTGAATTATACTAAAGAAAAGCTTCCGTTAGTTACAAACAAGTTTGTGCCGAATTGTTCTGAATAGCTGTAAACCCTCTTCAAGTTGGTTTGACTGTGTATATTTAATGGAAGCTATTTTAGATGGTGGTATTCTGCTATCCTTTGCACAGTCTGTGAAGGATTTGCAGTGGCTTTTTCTTAGCAACATTGTTAAACAAAGTAGAATTCTGCTGTTTCAATCAGTACAGTAACCTTTGTGGCTTCCCTCCTAATAAGCTGTCAAATTAATGATACTAGTTAATACTTCACAAGCTTTCATTGTATGCATGATTATGAGACTAAAGAAACTGTAAAAAAATCACTGTTTCTGTGGTTAATTTTATCCTTTGATCATTTCTGTGACTTCTGGACGGATATCCCTAAAATGAAGCATTTGGGATTTTTTGGGGGTTTTGTTTATGTAATTTGTAGAATTACATAGAACCTCATCTCTGTATATGGTATAAGAAAGATTATTACATGGCATGATCACCTAGGATACTTGACCGCTGGGGCCATTGGCTGTGTATGTTCTATATAAATCAGCCTCAGCAAGATCTTCTAAGGCTATTTAGATTGTCTAGAAGAGCTGTCTTAGAGATGTTGATGACCTTTTGCAGTTTAAGATATTGAAATATGAATCCCTCTGATTCAACAATTATAAAGAAGGCAGGAGAATGCGTTTTTGAAAAGATGTGCTTAATGAAAAAAAATGATGTGCTTAATGTTACAAAATGTTTGTTTATAAGGAAGTCAACTAGGTTTGAGTTTTTTTCTGCCTCCTAGGCAAACTACCAGTTAAATGTTCATCAGCTGAGGTACTTTGGAAGGAATGCTATTCAGTAGTAATAGTAATAATAATTTCAAAACCATTAATTTGTCATGAGACCAAACTAATATAAAGTATTCACACATGTGAAACTGAGATTTTAAGGGAACATTTAAAGGTGCTGTTTAATCCCAGTTCCTTTCATATTTCTCTCTCTGACCCTCTTCCTCCTTAGGTTGCTATTACAGATCAGACAGCTAGCAGTAGCTAAGCAGATAGCTATCTAAGGAGCTACCTTATCTACTATCTCTATTCCTTCCAACCTTAGATTAATAAATCTATTAATGTAAAAGTTTAATTTGGGGAGTATGACTAGTGTATTTCCAAGATGTATTCCAATAGAATCTTGCGATGTTTTTGAAGAATTTCCAGCAGATCCTAGGCAGTGATACTAACTTGTGCATTATGTTGAATGTATTTACTTTCCAACAAATGCAGCATTTGGTGGGTGTGGATAATGAGTGTGTGCATTATTGTGCATGCAAAGAATCACAGCAGCGGTTAGGTTGGAAGGGACCTCTTGAGTTCATCTTGCCTGTGCTCAAGGAAGGTGAGTCAGAACAAGTTGTCCAGGACTGTGTCCACTCAGGTCTTTACTATCTACATGAGTGGAGACCTCACCCATGAAGGCAACCTCCTCCTGGGTTGGTTGCAACCTGTAGCAGAGTTTGACCTCTGCATCAGACTGGTGGACTTTGAACTTAAATGTCTGTTTTTCCAGGACATTACCATCCAGCCTGGAGAATGATACACGTTCAGTTTTCGTTACTACTGTCAATGTTGCTGTGATTATTACAAATACTCTTGAGATCTAGCACTGGAAACAGATATCCCATGGCGTGGGTAATGCTCATAATTATAGAAATATTTAATATTGAATGGTGTTTTAGGATTTAGTCCTCCATTTCATGCCTGGTAGGTTCCATGTGTTTATGTAGCACTGCCTTGAGATTTTGCATGTTCTCTCAGCTGCTGTCTCTCTGACCCAAGCTTTGGTCATCTTATGTGTTGTTTTTCTGATCATCTCTTTCTCTCATCTGGGACAAGCACAGTTGTGATTTTTCTCATTAATTTAGAAACCTGCTGCAAGTTGCTTTGCCAAGTTACTCAGTGTTAATCTTTCCATGGTTGTCTCTGTGGTATCAAACAAAAACGACCTGGTTTTACTGTGGGGGATCTTCAGGGCAGATCTTTGTGTTAGCTCTTGTTTCTCTCCCAGTATCAAAGGGCAGATGTTCAACTTGGTTTATGGTGCAACTGCTTAACTGTATTTCTCTAAGAATTACTACTGGTGAGTTCCCCCACTGCAGCACCTCTCTATTCTGGAGGAACTTCTTTTACATAACCATGGAGTTAACCTGTTGTTCTTTTACCCTTTCCTCCTTATCTCTGTAGTTTAATCAGTCAAAACTGATTGCTGGAAAACAGCAGTCCAGTGTGATAGTAAGACATTAGTAGCTGTAGTGTTGGGCCTCTTCTATTCTTCCTGGTTATGTTCTTAGCTTATATTAAGTTTTTGTTTGTACAGTATCACAAATGTGATTTTTAGGCTACTTCAGCTAAAACATTTTGGACACCTCAAAAATAGGAGTTTAATTTTCTTTCATAGAGTATGACAAAAATAGTCTCCGTATTTGGGCCTCTTTGGAAGTGTTACTATTGATTAAGAATATGAGGTTGAGCCATTTGTTTATTAATGTGTTACATTAATGTGTACTTTGTATGTACACACCCATGTATGACAAAATGATGATCACAAAACACAGCTACAGCTTTTTGAACAGAATACTGCAGTTGTCATATTGACCTCATGGGAAATTTGCTGTTTCTGTATTAACGGGAAGCATTGAAATCTTGGATATGTTCATAGGTATTTCCTGTGTTGGCATATTTTTAGAAAAGTCTTCCACTGCATCCAGGAAGAAGTGACAGTGTACTTCCTAGCGAGTGTTTTAAAGCTTTCAGATTGTTGATTGAAAGGTACTTTAAGAGTGTAGTAGAAAGGCATCTAATCAGTTCTTGCTTGGTATTCAGAAGTGTATGCTTGCACTGGCACAGGAATTTGTAACTTGTGTTCAGAAGAAAAATTGCTCAAACACTGGAATATTTATGTTGGTTTTATAGGTATATACATGTGTGTATATACTATGGTGTGCACACAAACCAAAGCACAGCACTTCTTAATGTTGTGCCATCTTTACTCTTGAGCCTGCTATCCAAGTTTGTGGTGCCTGGTATGCAGGAATAAAATGAAAAATAATATATCCTTTAAAATTCCAGGGAACAAGTAGAGTAAGAAGACGACATTCTTCACAATAGTACATTAGAAACTTTTGGAGAAAACTGAAAGAAATGAGAGAATTTAAATGCATCTGCTAGGTCTCATGTCCCATGACATTTGCTCCCCAAATAGAACAGTATCTTTCACATGTGTAGTGCAGTACAGTGGCTTTTCTCCCCTCCCCAGGTCCATTGTGCCATATGCACATGACCCTACTGATTTGAGGTTCTATGTTCAACACTCCTCTAAGAAATGCATAAAGTCAGTCCCTCCTTGGTGTTTTGCTTTCTGGTTTGTTTTTTAATGTTTTCCTCTTAAATGGCATAATGCATGCAATTTGCACCAGGAACAAATAAACTTCAGGGGTCTCTAGTGTGGAATTTAGTAGCTGAGTGTGTGGCTTCAGGCTGTGGAAAACATGGCTATGTTTCCAGCTCCTGATGGTTGTCTATGGAGAGCTGGGTCAGGCTTGTCTTGGCTGATCTGGCTCTAGGGTGCCAAGTGGGGAGAGGCATTGTAGGGTTGAGAATAGAAATACAGGACTTGATCATGTCTGTTTAGGGTAAAGCTGGAGCTCCTCCAGAATAATGTTTTGGACAACACCAAAGGTGTCTACACCTTTAGGTGTGTTTAACAAATGAATACACTGAGACATTTCAGGCTGACTTGGAAAATGAACCTTGTGATGTGTGTGTGTCAGGAAATCTATCCTGAAAGGAGAAAGCAGTTTCAGTCTGTGCGTGTGTAAAATCCAGAGATGTTGTGAATGGTGACAGTTATTTAACTGTGCATGCTTTTGCTGCAGCAGTTCTATATTTGTGTCGTATGATTCTATGGTAGTTTTTAATGAAATTATTTAGGTTTTTGGTAAGTCAAATGACAAGTGGTTTTGACTCACCTTTTTTATTTCACTGGTTCATTGCTCTCTTTCTGAAGTGGATAGATGCTTTAGCTGAATTATTATTATGATGTTTTGATAGCCCTGTTGGGTTTTGGTTTTTTTTTTTAATCACTTTTTTTTCTACAAAAGGTGTTAAGAATTTTAATGGTTTATACATATATATTTTAGGTAAAGAAGAATGGATTATCAGAAGCGATCACCCAGGAAGAAAGAAAAAGACAGGAGGTACTTTTTGAAGTAACACATTTGTTTTGGTTGATTGTTTAGGGATGTGCTGCATGCCTGTTTTAATACTTTTTATTTGTTAAGTAGACAATGCTGCTTCCTGTCCTAGAGTGAAGTATCTTCTCTCCCTAGGGAAAATAAATAAACAAAACCTGTGTGTTGCTGATGTGCATATGTCCCTGCCACGGGTCTCCTGCCAACATCCTGTGGGTCTTGCAGGAGAAGTGGTTCCTAGGTATGCTCGTTCCAGCAGATGTGGCCTGGTTGATGGCTGCTGGGCAGCAGCAGTCACTGTGCTGTGCCAGGGAAGGTGTACAGTTAACCTGGTGTTCACAGAGGGTAGGAGGTGGCACATAAATTTTAAAAGCAGTGAGGAACAAAGAGCAGCTTTTTACAATTCCCCTTAGTTGTAACTAATCCTGTGAACAGTTGTGAACAACTCTGAACATGCGAGCAGTGTGTATCTGGTGTAACTAACCTTTTTCCTTTCACACTGAAATGGAGTAGGTGCTTCCATGCTGGCAGCAGTACAGACAATAGCAGCAATTACTGATGTAGTTATCTCTCTCTGTCTCTTTCCCCTTTGCTCCTTTTGTCCTCTTTAGGCTTTACTCTCTCTTTGTTCCTTTTGTCCACTTGATCTGCTTTACCCTCCTTCCTTACTTACAGGGGCTATATCAAAATGAATGAGAGGTGTTGAAAAGAATAGCCTGACCTAGCGAACTATATCCCTGCAGTTCTTGAGGTATGTCCTTAATAGGGAAAACAAAACCAGGTTGTTTAGTGTTTTTTTTGTGTTGTTTTTGTTTGTTTGCTTGCTTTTTGTTTTTTAATAGAAACACTAGCATTTCCTGACATGGTAATTTGTTCCAGTATCTTCATTTCTCTTCAGGACATACCTCAGTGAATATAGCCAAGTAAGACGTGACGGGTATTTTCTGTGAAGCTTATAGTATATATAGCAAGCCTTGAATGTTAATTTAGCTATGTGACCCACAGCTGTTGTGTTCATACCTGAAATACAGAAACGTCTTGTCGCATGCATGGGATTTAGGCAATGGTTTGTTCATTTTGGGGTTTGGTATTTTTTTCTTCTATAGTGTTACTACATTCCTTGGCTGTCTTCTTTTGCTTGGGGAAAAGGCAGTGCAGCAGTTCAGGCCATGTGTCCTGCTTTTGTCTCCTCCTGCTGGGAAGCTTTGAGATGTGAGGCATTTATTTCAGTCATATCCTTTAGGAGCCTTTAGCCTATGTTTCCTGGAGTTATATTTACATCCCTTTAAAGAGAACAAGTTCTGTAGATGTCTTTTAAATGTAAAGTCTTCAATGTTATCAAAAATGTTTTCAAGCCTGAGGGTTTTTTTATTTGAATGTTAGAGGCCCATTCTTTCAGAGGGTGTCTAAATAAATATTCTGAGGATGTAGTTGTACTACCAAGTTTTCCTTTTGCTGTATTTCTTTAACTTGCTTGTTATCAGTTGTTCATCTAGTCTTATAATTGCTTTTTAGAGCCTATTAGATTATTTTTGCCATTATAACATATTGTCACTGCAGAAAAATGTTTGCTTTCTACCTTGATTAAATGTCAGTGTCATGCATTCATACACATACCATCTTTCAGAACACATCAGCTAGATGGATCTCTGTGCATCTTTTGTCTAAAGAATAGACAGACTGATGTGAACTGAAATACTTTTTGATCTTTTCTTGTAAGCTGGGAACTCTAACTGTGCCATATGTATACAAACTGCAGTATGCATCTGGCCTCTTAAGTGTTTCCTGTTCATCAGGATTCAGACCTCTGCTTACCTTTGCTATCAGGCAAGTGAACCACAGAATGGTTTCAGATGTCATTCATAAACAGTGTTAGCAAGTGCCTGGTAAATGCCACATTCAGAAGCTGGGGTGGTGTAGTTAGTATATGTCAAAGTCAAGATTGTTTTCTTGATCCTTTTTTATTCTCCAAAATGTGTTTGGGTCATGGTAAGATGATACTCTCTCCCTTCATCACATGTTAGAAGCAAAAAATCTTTCTTTGTCCGACTTAGTTCTGAATTTGTTTAATGACTTTCTGTTACCAAACTGTAAAGATGTCCATGAGGGTCCTCAGTAAAAGCATGAATAAACCCCCTCCAAAACAATGATAGGAGACCTTGCCTATTTTCCTGTGTTGAAAAATGTCTGGATAGAAAAAAATGAGGTGTAGAATTCTACAGCAGTTGTTAGGTAAATCCTTTCTTTGTGAGCATAGCTGGCAGAGAGGCACAGTGAGGCTGAAGACTGGAAACATAACTGCCAGGCAGAGACCAAAATACCCTTTTGGGGCACCTTTCTGTGCATTGTTTGCCAAGCAGTGGGTAGGTTTGCCGCTGGAGTTTGGCCAACCTGTATGTTCTCTATAAATTCTTGAGGCTGATGGAGTTGGCAGGCAATTTAACAGGGTTTTAAGCATCACCTTTGCAAACCTTGTGCAGCAGTTTTGACTCTTGCAAATAATACATAGTATGTTGTAGCTGTTACCCAGCTGCTGCTGTATCTTTCACCAGATCCCTTCAGCTTTTTAGGTAGGTAATAAGATAGAGAGACTACTGGTACTATACATTAGACCTTTGTTGTTTGTGTGTATAATGGCCCTGTAGGTTTTCTGTGGAGTGCAGTCATCTTTACACTACATAAACCTTTAAGGCTTCAGCTAATACAGATTTTTGTTGTTTTGTTGTAAGAAACCCAAAACTTGTTATTTGATTATTAAGATCTCAGTTCTTTGAGGAAGACTGTTTAGAAAAGCAAGAATAATTTTCAAAGCACAACCTGGGAACAATGAGATTCAGGATACCCAAGAGAAATTGTATTTGGTCAAAAGCTTACCTTAGTTACACCAGCAGAATTCACTAGGCTTGAGCTCTCTAAGAAATCTTATGAACAAAAGTCCCTAGGAGGATGTTTTGCATTTTTTTCCCAGTATGGTTTGTCTCATTGGTGGTTGGAAATACTCAGGAAGACTGCCTTCAACCTGCCTATAGTCTTCCTTGCCTTTACCTGGTCAGGGAAGAGCAGAATTTCTCTGTTGCGTGTGCGTAAGACCATCTGAGTGAACTCCTTCTCCAGACTTTCAGCTGTGAGAGTTCCTCTGTTTATAGAGCCACAGACATTAGCCTTTCTAAATACTCAGCTCTGCAGTGTGTCATTTAAAGTAAATTTCTCCTTTGGTTTGAGAATGCTTAGAGAAGTTAGTTGCAAATAACTAATGAAATTACAGGTACAAGTATTAACATTAGTTACATTAAAAACAAAGTTACATTACTACCTCTGCTGATGGTATGACTCTGTGTTAGTAATGCCTGGAAGGTAGCACTGATGACAAATGTGACTTGGTGGAGCTGTTGACAAAAGGGCTTAGGGAAATTTTTTTTCCATGTATGTACATACAAGAACTCTATTAGTTCAACAGCACATAAAGCCTAGAGAGGTGAAAGATGTCTAAAAGCTGGATAAGTTTTTACATGAGATGAGCATTTCCCATGGAACAAGTAAGTGGATTTCAAAGTCCATTGAAAGTTTGCTGTCAGCCAGCTGATGGAAGTTACCATGGCCACTCCTTAACCGGTAGGGTGATAGAACAGAGTTGTTTGTGGGAGGAGAGGGTATTTGCTGGAGGTTCCTCTCTGGTGCCTGGTCCCTGGTCTTTGAAAGGGATGGTGGCTGCCACCACTCCTGTCCGCTCTGCCTCCAGGCCTCTGGCTCTGCTGCATATAGCTCCTGCAGCTCGGCTTCTCTGGTGCCTGCTCCGAACTTGGTGCTTTAAAAGTAACAAAGTGTCACTGCTGATAGATGAATAAAGCCTGAATTTTGCAAAGGAAAATTTTGCTGTTCTGCAGGTGCTGACAGAGTTCAGTTACCCAAGATGCTTTCAAGTAAATAACTCAGCAACGTCTGTTTAAAAAGAGCTAAAGCAAATACTGTCTGGTCAACAGTAGTATGACTGATTGATAGAAGCTTCCAACTGGACCACAGAAACAGACATGGTTTTTAATTTAAAAACAAACCAACCAAACCAAAACACTCACCACCAAACCCCATGTCTCGTGATTAGGAATGGGGAGTGATTGCACTTGGTGTTAAGTTTTAGGTTTTTTCCTTCAAACTCTGTTTGCAGTTGCATTGAAATGCCTGAATATAGACTTTTCTAAAAAGTTTTTTTGTGGGTTTTTTTTTCCACCTGGTATTAAATCACTCATTTGTAAGTAAATGATGCAGCTATCATGGAAATGAATTTTTATGTTATAATTGCTATCTTACATCCAGTAACTTCCCTTTGCACCCCTCCTCCGCGTTTTCCTTTAACAAAACAACAACAACAAAAAAAAGCAAGCCTAGTCCATAGTAAGCCTTTTCTTTCCTCACTCCACTTTGCAGGCGATATTTGAAGTGATATCTTCTGAGCATTCTTATTTGCTGAGCTTGGAGATTCTGATCCGGATGTTTAAAAATTCCAGGGAACTGAGCCGCACAATGACCAAAACGGAGAGCCATCACCTCTTCTCCAATATCGTGGATGTTTATGAGGCAAGCAAAAAGTAAGTTTAGCAATGCATTTCTACATTTAAAAAAAATTAACTGTAAAAAAAATATGAATTTAAAATTTAGTAATTATAAATTTTAATTATTTATATTTTTAATTATGCCTGAGGGGTGATTACCAGAAGTCAAAATATCGTTCAGGCAAGTAATGGAATGCAGTATGCAAAATAGCGTCTTCGGTGTTACCACAAAACACACGAGCAGCTGCCACGTTGCAAATTCAGCAAAAATTTAGACCTGACAGTTTAAGAATGAGAAATCAAATGTTGCATGTGTTAATATACGGAGTCTTAGTTTTCTATAAGCTGTAAGTAAATGAGAATAGAATTTGAATTTGAAATATATTTTGAGCACAAAAATATATGCACTCCGCAGTGCTAGAGAGTCATTTCATGGAATACAAACAGCTGAGGTTTTATTTTGCTAACCATAGATTCTGGTTTTGTAATATGAGCAAGCCCCTGTCCGTTTGGATTGTATTTTCCATGTATGCCTCACGGGTAGCAACTTGAGTAGCAGAGCTTTGGTTAGTACTACTTATATGCGATCGTGTTTGCAGATTGAGGCTCTGTCTTACCTATACTCTTGTTCTCTGAAGCATCTTGCTCTTACTTGGAAAAATCTTAGATTTTCTCACCAGAATACTCTGGTGGACACACACATGAGTCTGACAATCACCTTGCCACTATGCTTGAGTTCACATTTAATGGGGTAGGAATGGTATTAGTTTCTCTGAAAATTGGTAGGGAAGGACAGAGCATAGTGTATTTTAGTAGAAATAAATATCCTTCAAATCTAAGCAGTTCCTAAGCAAAATGTTGATACATTAAGCATTCATAGCTAGTCTTTACAGTCTACCAAATTAAGCTTAGTTTGCCATTATTAAACTGTTAAAAATTGAGCAAGAGTTTCATACTTGCTCTTAAGTATGGACTCTTGCCAGTGTTTTCCTTAATCGGTTGAATCACTGTTTACTTTCTGTGGAGTACTCAATGTGCAGCATACTGTGTGACTGTGGTATCTTTTATGTAAATAGCACAGGCATTTTAATTTTTAATTTCGGAGCAGTGCTGTGCACACCACAGCACCTGACACCAGAGGCTGGTATTTCTTTTAAAAAGAAGATCTGCTGTGCTGTGCTTTTTACCCCTTTTTTTTTCTCGCTTTGGCAAGTTTCCTCAGTACCAAATCAAAACCAAGAAAAATAGACACGCTGCAGATAGTGCCTAACGAAGAGGAAATGTTGGCAGACCTTACACGATACAAATGCTGGAGAGTCTGGTTTATGACTGCTGATAATTACTGCCAGCACTATTTAATATGGGGCATGCACATGGATGTGCACTCCACAGAGTACTGCAGGGTTATGAATACTCAAAGCTCCATTTCAAAAAGTTGTTTAACAAGACTTTACTTTGTTATAATTTGTTCATTATCTTGGCCTGGTTAATAGCAATATCAGCAGGTGAAGTACTAAAACATAAAAAAGTCAATGCTTTTTTCTTACACCTTATTTCAGATTTTAAATAGCACAATAGCTAAAGGATTCACATTGACTTAGTTAAGATACTGATTATCTTAATTGCAGCACTGTACAGCTTTAAATGTACCTCTCCTTACCTGTGGAACAGAAAAATATTAGGCTCATTTCAGAAATGGGGCTAATGGTTGGATAGGAATCTGTCAGGCTGGGAATCATAGAATCATAGAATAGTTAGG